CTATTTCAATCTTTTAAAACTTAAATTTAAAATTAGTTGTTTTTTTAATATATTAAATACAGGGTCTGCAGGGTCTCACTACACTGATCGGACTCATAGTGAGCCTCCTGTTTTCAGCCTCTCAAGCTTTGGGATGGGTGCCCTCCACCACACCCAGTCTCATTCTCCCTCTCAGTGTGCCCTGAGGGTGGGGCCAGCATGGCACACTTGGGATAGAATACTGGTCCCTGCACCTACCTAAGCAGTTGCTTTAGTCTGCTGAGCTATCTGGCCAGGCCTTAAAAATTAGTTTCTGTAACTAAGGAAATTTGTATCATAATTTGTGTATGTACTAAGTGGGATTATGAAAAGTTTTAAGATCATCATTTTTAAAAGTCGTCAAGAAAATGCTTTCTAATTATGCATTAATAATGTTTTGTTAATCCTATAATAATGCTGAATGTGAATGTGGGTACTAATTTAAAATTAGCTTGTATGATATATCTAACTAGGGAAAGAGGTATGTCTCTTAGTCTAGAAGAGAGGGAAATCCTGAAGGTGAAAAGGCAAGGATTTCTTGGTAGTATTTCATTTCCTTTTAGAGGAGTTCTTTTTTTTTTTTTTTTAATTTAGGACAGGGTGTACACAGTGTACAGGGTCTCACTGTGTAGATCAGACTCGTAGTGGTCCTCCTGTTTACAGCCTCCCAAGTGCTAGGATTAGAGGTGCATGCACCCACGCCCAGTCTTAATTGATCTCAGTGCGCCCCAGGGACGGGCTGACATGGCAGGCACAAGGATCAAACTCCCCTCCCCGCATCTCCCTAAGCAGATGCTTTAATCCATTGATCTATTTGTTGGCACTAGAAGAGTTCTTGACACATGCATATATATGTAAATTTTTATTATTGTTAGTACATGTGTGAAGTACATGAAGATTATATTAATTGTGGAGAGTTGGGATGTGTACATAACATACTTCATTTCTTTTTGATGATTAAGTGGAAATCTATAATATTAGAGGTTATGGTTACTATTGACACCAGTATTTTTTATGCATCCTTCTCTTCCCACTTTGTCTTATACCCAGTTCCTCTCCAATACCTCCCTAGATTATTTCCATCTTGCAAGAAATTGGTTCATGTTCTAGCATTTTAGGTCTATAGCTTTTTTCCTACTTTTCTCTTTTTCCCACATAAAGGTGAGAAGTGAAAATGTACCTGTGCAGAAATGACAAAGCACAAAGATTAGGAGAGAAAGTTGTAGTTGGGAGGAGGGGAATGGTAAGTATTTTGTTCTTGAGCATGATGAGAATGATGAAAAGATCAAATAAGAGAAAGTTGTGATACTTGAGTGGGAGAGGAGGAATGTGGAGAGACACAGTGTAAGTGAGGAGCTGAAATTAAAAAAATGGGTGGAACAATGCAGGTAGGCTGGGTAGGAGGAAGGCAAGTTAAAAAGAGAGACATCTACATTAGGATACTGGCATATTGAATTGAGAAGAGAGAGGACAGATGGTCATGTTTTCCTTTTCTCCACTGTGAATGCTGTCTTTGCAATTAAGACTCAGTCAGAATATTCTTGTATGGGTTAGAAGTACAACAAGGCACTGTTCTGGGAACAGAGGAGTAAAACAATAGTGTAAAGCAATTGCAATTCCAACACATGGCAGGCCAATCTGGCTAAGTATTTGTCCATCCAGAAGTTGTTTGCTCAAGCTATATTGGAACATGGGGTTCAAGGATTCAATCTACTTTTATGTTTTTTAAGCTGACTGGAGTTAAGATACGTCTGAATTGGTGATCATTCCTACTTAAGCCAATGAGGATGCAGCTTTTAAAGTCACCAAATTTGAATGTTACTTATTAAATATACTTTAACTTTCATAAACCTGAGGATGCCAAATAAATGGCAACAATAAGTAATGCTGTATCTGTAGAATTTAGTTTATTAGCTCATATGATGGTGTGAGTAATCAGAAGAACTGGAGTAAAATGGAGGAAGAAAAATGATACCTGGCATATATATTAAAAGTTACTAAGCAGAAAAATAAAAATATTTCTTGAAAGATTCATAGGATTATCATCCATATGATCTACTGATAATCAGGTAGCAAAGGTAGGTGCCCAAGAAAGGAAGGAGAGAGTAGCACCTGGCATCATACACCCAAGAATAATAGAACAGAGCTGGAGACAGCTTAATGGTGCAGTACTGAGGGGAGATAGAACCAGAGATGGAGAGTTTGGAAGGACCAGTCCTCTCTCAGATAGAGGGCCTCTACAAGGTGAGTGATTGACAGGTGTGGTAAGATTTCTGGGGCTTCACATTGATCTGAAAAACATGACACAAGAGAGTAGTATGTTGGAGGCCATTAACCGGTATCCATTCTATTCCCCTGCTGAG